GAGCCAAGATTTTGCCATTGCACTCCAGCTGGGGTGACAGAGCGAAACTCTGCCTCAAAATAAATAAATAAATAGATAGATACATAGATAGATACAAATTTAGACAGGCATGGTGGGACCTGTGTATAGTCCCATCTACTCAGGAGGCCGAGGCAAGAGGATCCATTGAGCCCAGGAGTTAGAGCCTGCAGTGGGCTGTGATGGTACCACTGCACTCCAGTCTGGGTGCCACAGCAAGACACCATCTCAAAAAAACAAAAATAGGCCGGGCATGAAGACTGAGGACTGCATAATCCCAGCACTTTGGGAGGCCAAGGCGGGCAGATCGCCTGAGGCCAGGAGTTCAAGATCAGCCTGGCCAACCTAGTGAAACCCCATCTCTGCTAAAAAGACCAAAAAAACTAGCTGGGCATGGTGGCAGGCACCTGCAGTCCCAGCTACTTGGGACGCTGAGGCAGGAAAACCTCTTGAACCTTGGTAGGTGGAGTTTGCAGCTGAGATCACACCACTGCAGTATAGCCTGGGCAACAGAGTGAAACTCTCTCTCAAAAACAAACAAACAAAAATGGGCCACAAGGAAGGATGCTTAGGGTGTAACACTAAGCAAAAGAAGAAAAATTGGTTGTGCTTAGCTTACAACTGTGTTGCCATCGTAATCACTGGGGAAAAACAAGGGTACAGCAAAACAGTAGCAGTGTTAGGCAAAATGATTTGTGTTTTTTATTTTCTAAGTCAGTTACGATGCACTTTTAATACTTTGGTAATGAAGAAAAAAACATCTGATTTGTCCAGCACAAACTGGGCACGACTAGACTTGACAGCAGTCTGTGGCGTAGCTAGCCAGAGAGTTTGGTTGACGCCAAGCTCAGGCTGAGATGACAGCATGGCGTGGCAGCTAAGGAATTGGCATGGCGCCCAGCTGGGTTTGAAGTGGCGTTAGAAAACCCTGTGGAAGCCTCCAGGCAGCACTCTCAGCCAGAGGCTGAGTGGCACTGCAGGGGCTGGGGGCCTTGGATTAGCACAGCATCATTGCTGTTTGTTTCACGGAGCAGAACACAGGCTCAGCAAGGCTCATCTACCTTCCCAAGGTCACACAGCCTTGAGCTGGAAAACATGTTTCCCATGCAGGGCTCCTTCCTAGGCACCCCAATCAAACCTGATGAATTAAGAAAATTCTGACTGGGCATGGTAGCTCATGCCTATAATCCCAGCACTTTGGGAGGCCAAGGCGGGTGGATCACCTGAGATCAGGAGTTCGAGACCAGTCTGGCCAACATGGCAAAACTCTGTCTCCACTAAAAATACAAAATTAATTGGGCTTGGTCGTGTGCACCTGTTATCCCAGCTATTTGGGAGACTGAGGCAGGAGATTCACTTGAACCCAGGAGGCAGAGGTTGCAGTGAGCCAAGATCACACCTTTGCACTCCAGCCTGGGTGACAAGAGCGAAACTGTCTAGAAAAAGAAAATTCTGATAGTGGGTGCCTGTAATCCCAGCTACTTGGGAGGCTGAGGCAGGAGAATCGCTTGAATCTGGGAGGTGGAGGTTGCAGTGAGCTGAGACTGAACCACTACACTCCAGCCTGGGTGACAGAGCAAGACTGTCTCAAGAAGAACAAAACAACAACAAAAAAGAACATTCTGAGATGTCCAGGACCACCATAGATTAAAGGATTTTGCATGTGTGTGCTTTTTCTGTTTGCACATGTATGATATGAAACAGTTAAATGATATAGAACTGTGTAACACATTGAGCAGGTGCAGTGGCTCATATCTATAATCCTAGCACTTTGGGAGGCCAAAGTGGGAGGATTGTTTGAGCCCAGGAGTTTGAGACCAGCTTGGGCAACATGGCGAAACCCTGTCTCTACAAAAAATTTTAAAAAGTAGCCAGCCGTGGTGGTGCATACCTCTACTCGCAGCTACTGAGGAGACTGAGGCAGGTGGATTGCTTGATCCCAGGAGTTTACAACCAGCCTGGGCAGCGTGGCAAGACCCCATCTCTACAAAAAATAAAACAATTAGCTGGATGTGGTGGTACCTACCTGTAGTCCCAGCTACTCGGGAGGCCGAGGCGGGAGGATTGCTTGAGCCCAAGAGGTTGAGGCTGTAGTGAGCTGTGATGGCACCACTGCACTCCAGCCTGGGCAATAGAGCAAGACCCCATCTCTTAAAACAAAAAACCATGTAACACATAAAGGAAAAAGCTCTAATCACACCCTCCTCAGGCAACCACTAGTATTCCTAGTATCTACCCTTTGTATGTTTTTATCTATGTGCTAACTCGTGTGATAATTATTTTAAAACAAATTGTCCCGTGTTCTCACCTGGATGGTTTGTTTTGTTTTGTTTTGTTTTGTTTTTTTGAGACGGAGTCTCACTCTGTTGCCCAGGCTGGAGTGCAGTGTCATGACCTCCGCCTCCCAGGTTCAGATGATTCTCCTGCCTCAGCCTCCTGAGTAGCTGGGATTACAGGCATGCACCACCATGCCCAGCCAATTTTTGTATTTTTAGTAGAAACAGGGTTTCCCCATGTTGGCCAAGCTGGTCTCAAACTCCTGGCCTCAAGTGATCCACACACCTCGGCCTCCCAAAGTGCTGGGATTACAGGCGTGAGCCACTGCACCCGGCCGAGGACTTTGTCTTGTTCCCACGTGTCCTCCGTGTCTAGAGCAGACTAGCTTGGGAGATGCACACAAAATGATCTCAGCCTGCTTTTGTGTGAAGGCCAGGGTGGGCACCTGTATGGAATCGGGGTCTCTGATCTCATTGGAGTGGGTGCCATGATTCAAAGTTGGGGCCCCCTGGCCTGCCATTCCCCAGCTGTCTGGTCTGACATCAGCAGTGCGTGGCTTAGGAGATGATGAACGTGGCCTCCCGGCATCCTCTGTTCTCTTTTAGACAAAGGCCTGAGCGAGGACCCACGGCCTGAGGAGAGGCCCGTAGAGGGTGAGGCCCTGTCTACTCCCACATTTCACTCCCGCCCCCACCCCATCTCTCCTCCCCTGCCGTCCACCTCCCTTTGGCCTCTCGGTCTCTTCCTTCTCTCCACCCCATCTTTCTCCAGCACCCTGGTTTTGGAGTGGGAGTCCTGTGGGCTGCCTGAGGTGGGAGGAGATTTAATTAAGGACCTGTCTTCTAGAACCAGGAGGTACCTGGTCAAAGGTGCAAGCAGTTCCCACTGCTAAGGGAAATTGCAAGCCTTTGTTTTTATTACACACCCTGCTGCTTTCCGCAAAAGTTTTAAGGCTGGGAACTGAGCCTCCTCTATCTGGACAAGTAGAATAGAGGCCTGAAAGCACAAAATTGGCTTTGTGTACAGCAGACACGCCCATTCTCAGGAACGTGAGAATTCTCTCCCTGCTGAGAATGGAAGTAGGACAGAGAGAAAGGGAGGCCAAGGTGAGGGTGAGTCTGTTTCACCTCTGGAGTATCCTGGAATGGAATGAGTGAGTGTCAGAGGAGAGGTTTGTCACTTCCCCAAACCCAGCCTGGCAAGAGGAACCAGGAAGTCTTAACAGTTCCACTGCCACCTGGTGGCAGCGTGCTCAATTTGCAGGCTTAGTGTGTACCCACTAGTTCTCAGTCACATACTATACTCAGTCACATACCTAGAAAGACCCATCGTCACTCCTAGTCCACAGAACCTTCCAAATCTTCATTCAACCTGGCAGTCCCCTAGATTTGATTTCACAAACAAGAATGTGAGCCCAGGAATTGTGAACCTGTCTGCGTGTGCCATTTCTGAGGAAATAAGTTACCCACTGCCACCGCCCCAGCCTTCCCCCATTCCAAGATCCCACCACAGGGCCAATCTTGGTACCAGCAGAGCAG